TGAATCTCTGTTTTTGTAGTCATTGCTCATAGATGATTTTCACTGCATCTGCTTCTAGAAACTCTGTCTCTCATAAGTAAGTAAAGCTTATCATCATTTCAGTAATTTTATTAGCAGAGTTATCTTGAGTGAGTGTTAAGTATTCAGTTAAGAATAAGTCATCTCTCTCTCTTGAACTTGTGTTATAATCTATATTTATTTTCATTCAAACTTTCTGAGCTATTTAAGATGATGATTACAGCTTAAACAGCTCTTATTTGAAGATGCTAACTGTATATGATGATTGTATTGAATATCTTCTGCTTCTAGCAGTCAGTACAGATATAAGTAAGATGATATTATTTTTGATGATGAAGTCACTTACAGAGATGTAATCACTGTCTATACTTCTATTCATGTGAGAACACAGAAGTTGCTTGTGAACTTATTGCAGAAGTCTGTAGTAGATTGATTGACTTCAGAGTTAACAGAGATCTTTTAGTTTGAGATGAGTGACTGCAGAATCACTAATGCAGCATTTCAGAATGTGATTAAGTGTTTAACTTAAATATCAAGTATGAAGTATAAGAATTTGATTAAAATAGCAGATTCTTATATATAAGAGAGAATATAACCTGATGAAGATAATCTTATAAAGTAGTTAATTGATATTAGAGAACTAGCTACTGTGCAGCCTTTTATATGTGCAGGCAGTTGCTAAACAATCAGCAAACACCTCACTTAAACAGAAGCAGTCAGCTCATAGAAAGGGAATCTGACATAAATGAGTTATTATATATTCTATTATAATATCTTTTTCTTTTCTTTTTAATTCTTTCTTATTCAGTGAGATTCTTACTTATATAAGTTTTTTTCACAGTTTTTTTACATAGTAAAAGATTGTTAATATGAGATTTAAATGTATTCAGTTTATTAAAAAATTAATAAATGTATAATACAGAGTTTTCACTCACTTAGTAAAGAATTGAAAATCTTTTAAAAATATGTTAATTAATAATATAAAATAATTTAAATATTTATATATATTGAATGAAGTAAAATCTATAATCTAGAGTCTATATTAACAAGAATTTCTCTGAATTAGCAGTTTATATATAAAACAGATTTTATAATCTGTGAAAGATAGATTACTTGATTGATTGAATGTACACTAACTATGCAGAAGTTATATAGTGTGAAAGATTATGTAAGAGTAAGGCGGATAGGCCTGACATCAATTCCTCTCAAGCAGTGGGTGGAAGTTGAGGTAACCACGTGATTAACTAATCCTGACATAATTCTGATGGGCCAGTCTCCATCCATACAAGAAGGGCGATTGGTTTAGTGGTATAATACCCCCTTAGCATCAGCTGGTCCTCTAAAAAGAGTTGGCAAGCGCGACTCAGTCACGTGACCCAGGGTGGGGGTGGTCGAGGGTTCGATTCCCTCATCGTCCATTTCTTTTTCTTTTTCTTTTTTTTTTTATCTATTGTTTTTGATGATTCCGGCATCACGAAATCTCATATCCATATAGTGAGTGATATTTATGTATATTGAGACTGCGACGTTGCGCCGAGTGTGTGCGGTGTGGGAAACAGCCGCAGCGCTTCCTACCTTTTTGAATAACACCACGAACATGGGTCACTTTGCGGATGCAAGTAGCACTGCACTGCTTTAGTATTGGAAGGTACAGTCACTCCGCAAAAGTATCGGCACCCCCCACCAAAATCTACACCTAATTTTACTGTGTTCATGGGGAGTCAACTCTCTTCCAGGTCTATTCCCAGAAACTTCATGTAAAATGACGCGTGGTGGTATAGTAAATCATGAAAATAGACATTCATAAGTAGAAATATGTAGAGGCTTGGCACGACGGTGAGCGTCTGGAAAACCGGTTACATAAGCAGAGCCGACTATTCCCCTTTGGGGCGGGCTTGGTTCGCATCGTTTCCGCCCGAACAGACAGCCGCAGACAAAACAAGTTGACAAGCTTCGGACTACACACAACGCCGCAGGAGCGCTACTTGACTGTCGCCATTGCGCCCCTGGCGGTTTTCTGACAGACTCCCTTTTTCGAATTATCGTTATATACATGGTCAATTGATCGGATTTTGCCATGCACAAGTGCCGCGCCATCCAGGGCGCCCTGGGCTCGCGGGCAGCCATCACCACCCCACTGCCTTCAGTTCGAGCTCAACCTCACATCCAGCGCCGAAATATACAAGATGTCTACATCACTCGAACCGGGACGCCAATCCTCAAGGTTCAGGGTGGACGGTATGGGACCAATGGCTTCATTTTACGGATGTAGCGTGTGTGCTAACTAAATCGGTTTCAATTCGTACAGCTCGTCCCTCGGAGGTATTCTACTTCTCTCGCAGCTGCTCTCGCGCGGGCTTCATTTTACTGAGGGGTCTTTTTTCTTCTTTTAGGACATACCGCAACAGTCTTCGGTGCTACAGGTTTCTTGGGTCGTTATATTGTGAACAGACTTGGTACGGCATATCAGCCCCTTGGCGACCACTTGCCGAAACGGACTGAAATAACTAACGGAGAATACGATATATAGCGAGCCAAGGATGTACTGTGATCGTCCCTTACCGAGAGGAAATGGCAAAGCGCCACTTGAAGGTTACCGGCGATTTAGGAAGAGTTGTCTTCATGGTGAGATTCGGTCGGGGAATGCCATCATATTTATGTGATCCCACTTGCTCATTTCACCTGCGTTGTATAGGAGTACGACCTTCGAAACACGGAATCCATTGAGGAGAGCGTGCGCCATTCGGACGTCGTTTATAACCTTGTGGGCAGGAAATACCCGACAAAGTATGTGGTGGCTCCGTGGATATCTTTCCATAAATAATTTGCATTCATACTGAGCATCATAGGAACTTCTCGTACGAGGATGTCCACGTCGACGGCTTAGCCAGGATTGCGGAAGCTACTGCCAAATATGATGTTGACCGTTTCATCCATGTTTCTTCTTACAATGCCGATCCGTATTCTCCTTCTGAATTCTTCCGAACTAAGGTACGTTATCGGGAGAAGAGCAGTCAAACGTTTATCTACTAACTCCTCCATTAGGCTCAAGGCGAGAGGATAGCTAGAAACATATTCCCGGAAACAACCATCGTCAGACCAGCGCCGATGTTTGGGTTCGAGGATAACTTGCTTCACAAGCTAGCCGGCATGACCAATCTGTTTACTTCCAATCATATGCAGGAGAGGTATTGGCCAGTCCATGTAGGTGCCCAGCTTCGTACAATATCTTGTAAAATGACTCGAACTAATGTATTTCTCCCTTTAACAGGCTATTGACGTTGGCCACGCTCTTGAGAAAATGCTATTCACCGATGCATCCGTGGCGCAGACATACGAGTTGTACGGACCAAAGAACTACTCGACCGCCGAGATTGCCGAGCTTGTCGACCGCGAAATCATCAAGAAGCGCAGACATATCAACGTACCCAAACGCATCATGAAGCCAGCGGCCTACTGGGCCAACAAACTCATCTGGTGGCCGACAATATCCGCAGATGAGGTTGAGATGGAGTTCATCGACCAGAAGATCGACCGATCTGCCCTAACTTTCAAAGATCTGGGCATTGAGCCTGCTGAAATCAGTAAACTGACCTTCCACTACTTGGTATGTAAAATTCCCACTCAGTCTGTTCGCTTTCTAGCGCTAATACTTACATTTTACTTCTCTTCCAACAGCGAGGCTACCGAAGTTCCCAGTACGCTGATCTCCCTCCAGCTACGGAGCGGGAGAGAATGGAAGACAAGAAATATGTGCACGTCCTCGACGACCAGTAGACCGCCGGTATTTTTCTCTAAAACATGTATATACTCGTACTTCACTAGACGCAAATCAATTTCACTTTCTTTTGTTTCATTTAGTCTCATGTGATCGGGTAGCTATGTCAGAGTTTGAAGATTTAAAGGTCGCGGGACCAACCTCAACGCAGAATCGTTTGAAGTGTAAGTTAGTTGAAATTGAACACTGAAACGTACGTAATAAGAAAATAAACGTATTTATTCTAATCTCTCTATGTAAAATGCTGGATATCGTTTTTCCAATTCATTTAAATATGATGGTGTTGCAAGGCCAGGGAAAGAAATGAAAAATATATTCCCCTCCACCAATGACGTGCTATCTATGTTTGATATCGAACTCCCCCACCAACATAACCAATTCCTGTCTTGTTCAATCCACCAGCCCTCCAGCAATAAATCAACTTGAGCCCCTCCTCTCTCTCCATTGATTTTTTTCTAATGCCACCACAATCATCATCGGCATCATGACGAACCCTCCCTCAAACACTCCGGCCAAAACCCCCATCTTCCTCCTGAAGACCAAATCCACCCCTCACGACGGATACGAAGAGTATTTCTCCGCATCAGGTTACTATGACCCCACATTCGTGCCCGTCCTCGAACATAGATTTCGCGAGGCAAGTCTGCGGAGGGTGAGGGACCTGTTCGTTTCGGGGAAGATAGGGGAGCAATATGGCGGGTTGATATTTACGAGTCAGAGAGCTGTGGAGGGGTTTGCGAGGATTATTATGGATGAGGTAGGGGGTATGCTGTTTTTCCCCTTCCCTTCCCCTCCCTCCACCCCGTCCTCTCTATGGAATACAATTGTTGTTGTTTATATTTTACCGGAGAGGGTATATTTTTGCTAACACATGAAATGATTCACGGATACGACAGAAACCGCATCTACAAAGGCCTCTGAATCCCTCCTCCTCTACAGCGTCGGACCAGCCACCTACCGCTCCCTGAATACATTGCGCGAATCGCATCTCCCCCACTCCCAGCTCATGGGCCGCGATGCGGGCACCGGCGAGATACTCGCGCACATCATCCTCGACCACTATAATGCCAATCACAGCGCTAGAAGAAGAAGAAGCCAAAGAGGAGCGGCCGATGATGACGATGACGATGATGATGACTGCCAAAAACCAACAGCGAAAACGACCAATCATACTAAACTACCCCTTTTATTCCTCATTGGCGAGCAACACCGAGATATCATCCCCAAGACACTCATGGCAGACACGCTGCCTCCAGAGACGCGGATAGAAGTCGAGGAATTGATCGTGTATGAGACGGGGGTTATGGAGTCATTTGAGGATATGTTTGCGGCTGCGCTGGGGGATGCGCGAGCGAGGAGAAGATTAGAGGGGGGTGGCAGTGGTGGCAGTGGTGTGGATGATGATGGTGGGAATAGTAACTCTGGCGAACGGGCTATGTGGGTTGTTGTTTTCTCGCCTACGGGCTGTGAGGCTATGCTCCGAACGCTTGGTGTGCTTCCAGGCGGCGAAGGGGAGGAGGAGGAGGAGGAGGAGGAGAAGAAGGCGAGGCGAATTGAGAGGGCCCTGCGAGATTGCTATATCGCAACGATTGGGCCGACGACTAGGGACCATCTACGAGAGCGGTATGGAGTGGAGCCAGATGTCTGCGCGGAAATCCCCAGCCCTGAAGGGGTTGGGAAGGGGATTGAGAAGTTTTTGTTGGAGAAACGGGTGAGATAATAAGGATGGGGTTACGCCTGGACGGAATGTATAAGTCCAATGTGTGTCTGGATTTATATACTTCAATATATCGTGTATAGTAATGTAGATGTATATATCATGTATAAGGTTGGTCGTATATAGAAGAATAGCCCCTCGTCTCCGCCTTATATGCACCCCTGCCACAGATTTACATCGGTACGCGGCGATGCTCCCTATCCGCCTCACAAGATAGTGAATACTCCCATACCAAAGATGAAGAAATGCAAGAAGAAAGGGTCTGTATCCCACCCACTAATAAGAACAAGATTGTGTTAAACCCTCGTGTGCAGTCATACGTTGTGCTGATAGAGCTGTTCCTGCTCTCCTCTCTCTCCCCCCTCGGCATGTCCTCCCTCCTCCCTAACAGCGAATGAGAGTCAACATTGTCCTTCCATAGTATTTAAAATCATCCTTATTTGGTGCCCATGGCCATACCTAGAATACCGCTCAGTAGGTCCACTCCGTTCCAAACGCCCCCTTTTATCCCAATCCCAATCAACGAACAGGCAATCTATCCCTAGGCAGGAACCTGGGCCGACTCCCAACCCTCATCCAAAACATAAACAGATTCCCCACAGGCCTTGCACAGTATCCAAATCTGCCTGCTCTACCAGAGGCGGCGCCCTGCTGCCAGAGCTGTCTCGGGTCATTCATAAACTGCACCCCACTCCTCGCCAAATCTTCATAGCCATCCCGGTACGTCCTGGTGTCGATATAGATATCTATCCCAGCGATGACCGCGACGTCAAGAGTGTCGTATTGCGGCCTTAGCGTTCTGAGGATATCTTGCCTGTCCAGCGATCGAAAATTATCATTATTATTATTATTATTGACGTGAACGTGGTCACTGCCACAGCTTCTTGTCCCTGGCAGCATGGCATAGAGCTTCACCAGTGACG